GGGGGCCCCGCCCACTTACTCCCCGCCTCCAAGGCTCAGGCTGCCAATCCGAGGGCGCGACCCCGCTGTCTGGCGTCGGCCCCACCTTTCCCGTCCGGCGTCCATCCCCCGAGTGCCACCGAGAGCCCAGGACCTACGTCGCCTAGAGAGGCCGGCACAGGCTGCGCTTCCGGCGGCACCGCACACGTTCCCGCGCGCTCCCGATGCGTCAGCGTGAGGCCCCGTCGGCCGCGCCTCAGCCATGGCCGCTCCTGCTGGAGCCCGCGGGGCTCTGGACCCTGTGCTTATGCCGCCCGGGCAGGGTGGTGCGCACGGGGCGGGGGCTCTGCCCGGGGTTGTGGCGCACCGGCCCGGCGTCTCTGGCCTAACCCAGCGGGCGGCGTTCCTGTCGTTCGCGACGAAGTGGCGCCACCGACCCGGCCGGCAGGGTTCCTGCCAGCTAGCCGAAGCGCCTCCGCGCCCACGGGCGTGCCGAGTTTGCGTTCAGATCGCAGCAGCACCGAGCGCCCGGCCCGGGAGGCATGCCCGTCTCGCCGAACCCGGGACAGTCTCAGTCCAGGCCGCGGGGGCTCCGCGAGGACGCTGACTGCCTCTCCGGCTGCGCCCTGGGGCGGCAGGGCCCGGGTCTCAGCTTTATTTAAAGGGGGGAGGGGGGGGAATCTTCTGTTCCCAGTGGAACCGTCCCCTGTCTCCACGATAAGTAGAAACAAGAAAAGACCACCACGGCCGTCACGATTTCACTATTCTTCCATGTTTTCTTTTGCAGAGGTCCCCACGCCCATAGGATCGGGGAGACAATGGGGCGCGGTCCCCCTCTGCTGCCTTCCCCAGGCCTCACCCCTTCGTATCTGTCCTAGCCCAGCCCGCCGCCCTTGCGTCTGCCGGTGTGCGAGTGGCTGTTGCAAAAGCAACGTCCCAGTACCCCTCATGGGCCTTGGCGGTGTGCCTTAGTTCTCAGGGGGTGAGCCCGAGCCATGCAGGCCCGGCCACCCCCACTCCCCTGCGGCCCTGCTGCGCCAGATACACCTGTAGCAGACCTGTAGCTGCTTCCCTTTTCTCTGGACCCTAATTTCGTTGGCTCCTCGCTGCGTAGAGTCACCCTCTTCTTAGCATCCCCACAACATCGAGGAAAACAGGGTTCTTAGTTGTCTGTGTAGGCTCTGGCTTGTGACCCAGGTTGTACTACTGATTATATCTTTTCACTTGTCAGCTTATTTGCAGTTTATCAAAGAGGTGATGATGCAGCGACAAGATGCCCACCTGATCACTGGAGTGAATAGGAAGCACACAAACCTACACAACCCCAACCTGCGACGCCAGTGTCCCCAGTGCATCTATAGGAGTTGAGCATCGTCCAACACAAGGTTATTTTTTTGCATAGAAGAACTGGGGTGCCAGCCAGAGGAGGGGGGGGTAAAAGATTCCCCATAGACAGAGTGGGGGAGCAGAGCAGTAGGATTCCCTGAGACACACCGCTGTGGGGGCTCTAGGGGACACTGTTGTGCCCTAAAGGTCATTCCCGGCTGCTGTGCTGACAGCCTGAGATGCGGCCACTAGCATAGTTGCTAACGACTCGCAATCCAAGTAACCAGGGCACTGGTCTGGACAGAGTTACTCCTCAGGCAAATGCATATGGACTGTGTCCAGTGCTAAAGGGACTGAGTGCACCCATGTTGGGTGAAGTCTCGATGCAGAGGAGTCACGTGTGAGGTGTGTCTGTGGTTTGCTGGGTGTCCAGTTGCTGTTTTTTTCCTTTTTTAAAAAATAGATTTATTTATGCATACAGAACTGGGGAACAGGCCAGAGGTACAGGGGCAGTGAGAGGATTCATCAGAGACAGAGTGGGGAGCAGAACAGGCAGATTGACAGAGTACACTGCTGAGGGGAGCAGTGGGCCAGACGAGAGGTCTGCCGCACCTTGTGGATTGCCTTGTGGATCACCTCCAGGGCGGGCATAGAACTCATGCTTTAGTTTCTTAGTGTTGTGCTTTAACCCGCTGCGTCACCAGGGAGGGCCCTGTTTTTATACTTTTTAAGAGCGTGTCTCTGCCCAGGGCCAGTGTGCCTAGATGGGGGTTCTTCTGATTTACCACCTGCAGTTCAGAAGCACAGACTGCAGCCTGGGCTTGCACTGTCTCCAGGTAGATACTGTCAGAATTGAGGTGCATTCTCAAAGCGCTTGATGTTTTCCAAAGCCTTTTTGTCCGCACACTTATTCACCTGCATCTGGGGATACAACATATACCTGATGGTATGTTTTCATGGGTTTAGACCTCAGCTTGCTTCTGATGCCCTCCCCATGTACTTTCTTGAGTGATGACTCATATTGCATACAGGACACAGGCTCATGGCTTTGCTCTCAATCCCACAAATAGGTGTGGGATCAGACACAAACCCAAGACCATTTTAAGCAGACCCCAACCCATATTCCTGTGTCTCATACCACTTATCAAAACTGCCATTTTAGGTCTGTTTTAAATCTCTTATAGAGGCCATGATGGGCTCAATGGCGCACCATGCACTCCACTTGAATGTATGTTGGCCCGCAGGCAGATGGGCATAGTAAGTATGGTTAATAAGCCAAAGCAGGGCCAC